ATATATATATGCAATTACATAAATCCAGATCTTGTATATACATGTACGCATGTTTTCTGAATGTTTTTGTGTATTAATAACAAAAGAACAAGGCCAATGTTTCAGTGGATAATGATTCACCAGCGACTGACAAACGAACCTGTGCCTCGCTCAGCCCGAGCTCCAGCATCTCCAGGGACTTGCGGATCATGTGTGACTTCTCCTCCACCAGGACGCCCTCCTCATCCTGCTTCAGGCAGCGCAGCGTGCCCAGTAGGCCGTCCAGGATGGAGTGGTGCTCCTGTTTCAGGGCTTCCAGCCCCTGGATCACCTGCTTGGTCCGAGAGATGATCTCATCCTGGGACAGCTTCTCCCCAGGGTCCTGCTCCTCCTTCACACACACCATGGTGGACATGTCCTCACGCATCCTGAAATCACATTTACAGAGTTGGTTTAACTAATGCTGTTTTATACATCTGAGATCAGAGTGCAAAAACATTGTATAAATGTACGTAACTCTGTATAAAATTACTCTGATATGGATGCGCTCATAAAACTACAGTACAAACATCAGCTGAATACATCGCAAATGTCTTATGACTTCTATGCTTGTTTATTCCTGACAGAAAGATAAGTTACATAAAAAGCAACAAAGGTTTAACTGGGGTTAACGTTTAGTGCTGCAGAAACTATAAAGAGATCAGAGACGGGACCACCAGGAAAAGGGAAAGTCACTTCACGGAGCAACAGATGAGGCTTTACCCGAAACGTGAGACATATTGATCGATGTAGAAAAATCATTAACGGGCAAACGTGCAACCCTCAGATGTTTCATTCAGACTTGTATCCTTCCGACATTTTCTGGTCTAAGGGCAACTACGCAGCCTTTTACAGCCCCGCCAGCGATTAGTCTCCCTTCACGATCGATACTCTGCTCAGAGAGAAACAACATTGGCTTAAACAAAAAGGTTAGACACACGTGTTTGTGACTGGGCAGGTCGAGGGATGTCGATTCTTCCTTCTCCAACTACACTCAAGGTGCCTTTGAGTAAGTCTGAAGCTCTGTACAGCGTGTGAACAGCGGCAGGGTGATGCAGCAGAAAACAAACGTTAACTGTAATGTAGAATAAAAAAAATACTAACTGAGGACTCATCACTTTAGATGCTTCAAGAAAAAAAAAGAGAGTGACTTTGGTGCAGCTGTGATGAAAGCTATAAACCAAACCACAGACGTCAAACCTGCAGCCCGCTGACAGTTCAAATCCAGATCTGAGGCCTGCGAGCTGTCTGCGGTTTGCAGATAACGACAGATACGAGGCGAGGAAAGGAAACGGTAGAAAACTTGAATCCCTGCGTCTGTCACCAGTCGTCAGATTTGCTTTATTGTTTAACGACAGTTTTCCATCTTTAATGTGAATTTAAATCTGCATTTATTAGCTTCACCTGTGTCCCAGTTAGCCCGGTCACTGAGTGAACACACAACACCAGAGACCTGCAGTGGCTCTCCTACCAGGAACGCAGCCATCACCAATGTTATTCAGTCCACCTGGACTTTTCCTGCCTTCACAAGTCCAAATGTCTGCAGTGAAAAAGGTCTATTGTCCCAGAAATAACTG